GCTGAGGGATTGGATCAAGCTGCTGTAGAAGCCGGTATGATACTTCCTCTCCGTGCTAACACTGTATAACCCGTTGTAGCAACTTGGCACAGAAACGGTGCTCTTTCTCAACATAAACAGGCATAGAACGTCGTGAGCGATAAACGTCGCATCGAAGTTATTTTATAAGGTAAATCCCTGTGACACTTCGACTGTAAAGTCACCTACCTACAAACCTTCAAAACCTAATTTATCTTGATATCGAATTGGCACTGAATGAGCGCCTGGCTGCCAATCAGCGTCAACTGTCCAATGCAGTGCTCAGCAAAGGTATCGGTGGCCATTGTACAAGCTCGATCACTTACCGTCAAACAAAAAATACTACTTTAATTAAGTTGTTGTGGGATGATAGGCAGGCGTACCTTTCTATATCAGCATCGCCTACTATACGGCCATAAAGTTAGGAACTGCAGACCGGAATCTTCGTATACGGCCCTTGTGTAACGCCTCAAGACCTCAGTTATGCTCTTGGCAATCTGACTATTCTCTAATGTTTGAAAAAATTAGTGCACAAAAAAAAAGTTTTTACCACAGAGATATACATCGCGTCACAGTGCTTGGATTAGCGGCTACCGATCTTTGCTGCTAAAACCCTAACCGACCAATGGCAAGCTACGACGTTTTACTAATGAACGGGAGTGAAATGAATATTCGTTGTGCATTCATCACTTGAAGGCGAACCCACTCTGCCTTCAGGTGGAAGTTTTATGTTATCGCATTGAGTTGTGTTAATTTATATGCCAACGCGCTCTTTTTCAGGGGAAACAATGTATCCAAGAGGTTATGGCATCGCAGGGACGTCAGCCGAGAAGACCGCGACCAGTACGAGCGTCATCTATCTGATTATATTCAGCTTACGGCCAGCAAATAGTCGAAAGAAAATTGAAGTGAATGATCGTTGGCTGTGTTGACGTAGTAGTGCTTATAAAAACTACCGTACCTAAAGTTTTCACTACTGCCTAATACGGGTAATATATGCATAAGGGCAGAAAGTAAGAAAGATTCTACAAAAAAAAAAGGACGGATGCCACATACGTTTCTTAAGAGTTCACATTAAAAAAAAAAGCATTTTTATTTAGTAAGTAAGTGAGCGTATCATTTAGAAAAAATATCATTGAATATCACCAATATTTAGGTAGACTGAAACGGCGAAGTAGTTCTATACTGATTTTAATCATTGCTAGTATCTTACATCTAAGGAAATGTAGCAGAAATCTTGCATCTAATAAAAAAAAACTCTAATAAAAATTGTCTTAACAACAAATACGTTTCTTTCTCTGTGATAATACGTATAGTACTGAAACGCTAAATGAACGGACTGTTCCTAAATACTCTTTGTACGTTGGGAGTAATCTTTTAAAAAAAGAAAAAAAAAAGAAAAGTAAATCTCCTTTTATTTGTAAAAAGCGATACTGAATTGATAAACAGTAACGGACGTGTGACATGGCCGATAAGAGGTTTCACATGAGTCCTTAAAAATGTTGAATTTTAGAAGGAAAATTTCAGGTTTTTTCACACATACCCGGCCGTGCAGACGTTTACAACAAATCTAATATAAATATTATTCTTAGAATGAAAAAGCGGCATCCGGTACATTCTGAGCTAGGAACATACATTTTCGTGTAACTGATTCAGACACTAAAAAAGCTATCTCATGTGCGGGCTGATACATCGACAGATAACGAAATCGCAGAACTGTGAGCATTCCAATTCGTTAATACGATAAAATCTATCCAGCAGATGGGGCAGTCGTTTTTTCTTAGCAACCCGTATTTTTTGATAAGTAAATATTAGATTTTATCTTTCTGCAGTAAATACCTAAGGGTATTTCCAGTTATATCCAGCTTTTCAGTAATCGTGCTTAACTATATATAGGTATATAGAAAGGGACATTGACGTTTTCTTTTTTGTGGTGTTCTTCCTTATATCGTTTGTTAAATATATTAGCCTTCGTCCCTCATATAAATACGGCCCGTATAGCCAGTTGTGTCTTGAGAAATTCTGGCACTTACATCGATCCATGATCACACTCCAACCGACAAGGATATTCATTTTTCAAACAATAGTCAGAAGACACGCTATAGTGGAGCCGAGCTAAATTGCCAATACAAGCTTCTGGAGTTTTTTTTTATTGTACCAAGCACTGTGTTATTGCCACTGCGACGTTTGATGGTAACAGTTCCAGGATCTCTGGAACTCTGAGATGCACCGTTATTAGAGAAGAAATATTGCCTATTTATAAACAACTAAAAATAAAAAAGGCATGGTTTAAATTGGAAAATTAGTGCTTGGGCTACTTCTCAGAGAATGAGTTAGGAACATCAACTGCTGACGTGCGTTTTTTTTTTCGTAAATTACCTAGGCTTTTTGCCTAGTTTTCTAAGTAGTGAGCAATTCGCTTCCTGCTGTTGCAGGAATTTGACGACTCTCTTTCGATATCATTTTCTTTCTGAATAGATAATCTGATAGATACATTTTTTTCAGAAAACAATTTTTAGTATTTGTTATGGAGGTCACTAAAAATTGAGCGGCCCTTACGTTGGCCAATCGGCAAGGGTGAATATTTACAAGTATATGAAGAGGGTCATTTCGGATGTCAGAAGAGTGCACTGCAGACGCAATTAATCAACGCAAGTATGCAATGTAGCGAAATTGTCAGATATGATCAGACTACAAAAGTTTATGACCTCTAGTTGGTGGATACGCAAGATGAATACCAGTTTTTAGGTTTAGGCTTGATGGCGGACGAGCTGTCGGAAATTAACAAAGACCAATGTTTTTTTTTGGTCATAGTGAAAAAAAGTTAACAGGTGTACCCCTTGCCTTTCCGCATATATATATATATATATATTGCGAAAATCTTTATCTACGTCTGTTAAAGTAATAGAGGATACGCAAATTATTGCAATCAACGATATAATCTAGAGATTACCCGAATACTATATTATGATGCAATAGCGTTAGTATAGGTGCAAACAGCTGCGCCAATGTGGCCCTTCACATAATTTTTTAGGACTTATATATATATATATATATATGGCACCTGTCACTGCTTATAACATAGTACTATAAGGATGCTATTAGAGTATACGGCTTCATCCACCCTTACTGCAAAAATTGCGCATCTTCTGCTACTCTAATAATCAGATATGAGATGAAGGACTATACATTTCAATGTACAGTACATGAAACGACACAAGATTTTTAAGCTGTTCCTCGCAGTAAGCATCTATTCGCATCGAATAAGAGCAAAAAAATGACGTAACCATAACGAGCGAGGATCAGTTGAATGCTCCCGCGTTAAGCGCACTAATATTAAATATTGGCTTGTTGTGCCCAAAATCAACGGTCCGCGTTGCGAGCGGTTTGCATGTGGCGCCTGAAATTCATGAGACAACGCAGAAGGTCCTCAATAGGCCTTAGACTAACGAGGCAGATTAATACAAAAGCCATTTTTCCTCTATGGTCGTAGATCTTTGACGCAGAAATAGGCTGCCATCTTCGAGATTAGAGAGAAGATTATCCATTGATAGATGAATCGTTCAGGTAAGCCGCGACGGTTGATCACTTTGAGATCTTCTGCGACTTTCTACACCTTTTGACGGCCTTAATTCCTAGCTTATTTGGGACTTTTGGCCTGCGATCAGTCGAGAATTTGACTGTATTGAATTTTTTTTACGTGGAACGGTCCATAAATGAAATGTGATGAACAATGGTAACAATGCATGACCATCAGAAATGACATTTCTAGCGCATTTAAAGCGACATACCTTGGCTGTTGCTAGCAATATGAGCTGGTAGATTCGCAAATTACTTGTTTTTTTCTTCGATTTCTTTTTATCTTCCTAAACGGAACTAAAGGCCGCTGAGTGCCTAGTCAAGACTCTACGTCACGAAGCAGAGAAGTAACAGCTGAAACAGGAAGTACAGTCCAACAAATTATGCCAGAACGCCATTCAGAGGCAGAGGGATATCGCCCAGACAACGGTGACCTCGAAAACAAAGAGATCCAAAGATGAGCAATCTGTCTTCTATGTGAAGTATAGAAGTCGACGACTGAATATCGACGGACTGCAATAAAAAACAGTCCAATGCAATATTAATAGTGAGATTTAAATTTCGAAACGTCCAAGTGAAATCTCTCTGGGTAGTATTTGAATACAGAATGATTAATCAGCAAATTTTTTTAATTTATCTCTTAAATGATGAGATTTGGCAAAATTTAGTTATCAACGTTTCCAAGATTTCGACACCCACTCTGGTTTTCTTTATGAATATGTAGCATGGAACCAGCCGCATTCTGTCATTCTTCTTCGAAAGCTGTCATTGTTTGAGCTATTTTTGAATATAAGTTGGCGTCTCAAAAAGTAGAACTTGCAGACAACGCCTGAGACCAACTATGCACAAATATATTTAGCACAACGCCAAGATGCACCTTTGGCGTGTTTAATTGACAGGCTGCATGGTTTTATTTATGGAATAAGTTTTCTTTTTCTAGGAAAAGACATTTTTTATTTTCGTTTTTTGACCATCAGTTGCAGCCCAGACAACCGCAGTTACTGAACGTTTCATCGTATGTGAGATAAATTCTATTAACATATCCTGTAGGCATTTCGTAGGCTGACCATCCTCGTTGTCCAGCTATTGCTCCGTCTTTGCCAACTAAGAGAACACTAGTTTCCTCGCCAACTTAAAAATATTTTGACTATCTGCTGTAATAAGTCTTGAGCAGACATTTCTAAACATTTGTCAATTGTAATTCGTTCCTCCAGCTCCACTTTGACAAGTAAGGGAATTTTATCTAGCATACAAATACTGGACTGCTAACGCCAGCTGCTGCAAGTTTAGCTCGCGCTAAACCTGATATATTAGCAGACGTGTGAGTGTGTGTGTACGCATCCATGTGGATAGACTTCCCTATGTACATATATATATATATGCTTAGAAAGGTATACAGCTCAATACTTTGATCGCTGAGTTGTATCAGATCCGCAAAAGAGGCAAGGATGACTCCATGGTGCGCAGTGTGGTGTGGTCTTTGTATTATTATAGTGGTACCTGCTTTAATCAACGGTTTGGAGCTATTTAACTACACCACTTTTCTAGCCACCAATCCGGGATCACTGCAGTCGAAGGACCGTGCTGGCGACCATGTGGTCATCATGAGCAACATCGATAGGTTCGTTGTTCTATTGGCCTGTTTCTGCTATTAAGTTGAAATCACTTATTATCTAATACAATTCTAAGTTCCAAGGAGCTTTAGATTTCCGCTGTTAAAGCTTGAAGGCAGACCTTAAGACGCTAATCACTAGTAGTTGTTGAAATCTTAAACGAACTCTGTGTTGAAGATCACCTTTGTATAAGTGATATGCTTAGAAGTGACCTCTGGCTAAACGCACGGAGATAACTGTCCAATTTTTCATCCAGTTTCCAACTATCCGTGGAGATCCTAGAAATAACCTTAAAAGACATTATAACAGGTTTTCTAAAAGCAATGCTTGCCCGTATGATAATTTAACCAGCAACCCCTCAGCTTTTTCACCGTTATCAACTGTGACATATAGCACAAGCGGTCTGATTTTCTGAGTGCAATAAGCCTCAACTGTAGAGTAATATTTGCGCTAAATGGGATATTAGTATAGATAATGGGTAAACGTGTTTGGCTAGGCACGGCTTTCTAATTAAATGAACGTACCATAGGCTAAACAGCTCCTGTACGATTCAGTGCAACGTGGCAAAGGCTTCCGCCATTTCCTCTTCTCAATAAACTTCTATTAATGAAACAAGCAGTTAGAATCCTTACTCATTTATTTTTTTTTTCAAACCTATACTGGGTCTCCTATGTAACTAGAGTCTGAACGGAAATTTCGCTGCAGTGGCATAGGTGGCTATTATCCTCTTTACTAGATCGTGGGCTTTTTCAACACAGGAACTATGATGAATGATAGGTTATAATGTAATTGGTATCGTAACTTTCAGTCAAGGTTATTTGGCGTATTTGCAAATGTGGTATGCGCCAACCGAAGAGGGTAAACGTATCGATTCTACTTTACTTAAAGAAAAATACCACAATCAGCAGGATGTGGCAGAGCTGAACAACCAGGAGAAAAACTTAATTACTGTGTTCGCTTAGGACACCTCCACCTTGTGGTCAAAAAAGCATTCAATTATGTCCTCTGGGATAGGTGTATCCTTTCAGTACCTCTTATAAACTAACAGTCCCGTCCGATATTATGTCCAAAACGCTCTGAATTGATTATGTAAGATATCTCAATCTATTAAGCTTTATCAAACGTACTTCTTGTCTAACTTGGCAAATGTAACCTCATGAAAGGTGAAACTGTGGCAGAAAAACCTTTGGGAATCTGTCTGCAAGGATAACACGGATCCTACCACATTTTTATATCATGATGTGTCTTAGAAGTGCTTTTTTTCTGTTTAAACTAATATTTTTTGCTCAGGGCGAACGGACTGGCCCATTAACCTTTGATTATATATATTGGATGACCGAAAAGGTACTGATGATTTTTTAGTTAGTTGCCTTTAAAGTCGCATACTTCAGGTAATATAATTCGCCTTGTAAAAGAAGCTGAGATTTAACATTGATACATGTGCTAAAATTGTTGGAATGCTTCAGACTTCAGATAGGGCGTTTTAAAAATTAGTGATATAACTTTCTGAAAATTCCGCGGTAAATGACGCTCCTCGTAGTGGTCGACCGGTGACAAAAGAGACTGATAAAATTATTGCGAAATTGAGCGAGATCGACACGTGGGCAGCCAAGAACATAGTCAAATAATTGAACTTCTTCCACCTAACAGATTCAAGTTATCTGAAACAAGCTGGGTACGAGAATTTCGATGTTTGGACGTCATACAAATTGGCACAATTCCACTTTCATCTGCGCAGCTCTACAAAAACGGTTGGTCACGGACGATAGAAAGTGGATTACGTGTAACAGTAAAATGCGAAAAAAGATTATGATCAAAGCGAGGAAATGTTCTTCGATCCGTGACAAAGCCTGGGATGGTTGATGCCAAAGTGATGCTATCCGTTTAGTGGGGTCGGAACGGAACCGTGGTGCTGCTGCGACCGCTGCCGCCAGGGAAAATGCTTTATTTGTATTATTAATAGCTGTTACTTAAGATCAGTGAACAGAAGAAGCAGGACTTTTTGAATTATTTCAATTTCGTTTCAATGAAACGACACAAAAAAAACGTCTGTTATAGTGTTTTATCTAGAAACCATCGCAGCTCTACACTGATGGGTTTATGGTGTTACCAGAAAGATGGCAAAAGGTCATTGATCAGAATAGCACGTATGTAGCTTTGTTGTTCTGTCTAAAAATATTAAAAAAAAAAAAATTCTACTTCAGCTTAAATATTTTTATTAGAAAAAGTTTCGCGCACCCAGGGCAACAACTTCTTATTCTCACTTCCTTTATTTGTTGTTTACTCTTATGTACCGTTAGAAGGCGTTTTTCGTGTTGTATGGACATGTTGTAACGGTACTGCGTTGTAAGGGCCATTTAACCTCAGACTAACTTTTTAAATATAGATGCTCTAGGCGGAAAGAGTATATTTTCAACATATCATTTCAACACACTATATATTTCGTCGAAATTAAAACGCTCTTGGAACAGCCCGCAAAATTTATCCTGTGTGCGGAACGACAGTTTCGCTGAAAAGACCTTTCCAAAAATGGCTTGGGCCAGGTCCGAAAACGGGTAATGGCAAAAAAAAATGGGCTAAAACCCGCGATCGTCGTTAACCACCTAAATTTTTTTGTGTTTACACGGAAAGTTGAAAATTGGATACGTCGTGAACTCTCTGAAGGAAAATTACGCCTTAACGCTACGTCCCAGCATTCGGTTTGGTATTGTCCGTTACACGGCCATAATGACCGTTTTTTTTTTGCATAGAATTAGTACCAGTGACGAGAAGTAGTATCTCTACATTAACATGAGTTAGAGTTCCGAATGGGTTGCTCAAGGAAAGAAGCCGGCGTACAATAACCAGACCTGCAGATCCAACAAAAAACTTAAGTTTTCTGTTTGGTGCGAATTGCGAACACCTGATTTACTAGAAATCGGTTTTTACGACCTAGGCAATTGATCGACGCGTTTAATTTCGTTACATCGAGTCAATTAAATTATGCAAAGCTCCATCAAATAAGGTCAGCTTACCCTGTCCCATGGAAACGCTAGGTCATGCACGACAAACATCGTCAATACTACTCTCCCTGAATACGAACGGGAGACTTTGTGAATTGTCATCTTCTCTGTTCACTGAACCATCGATCATCTTCGTGTCCTTCGGCGAGGATCGACAACTGAAAGCGTCGTGTCTTTTCATTTTATACCTATTTATATATATATTAGTAGTAGTAGTTTACGCAATTTCGATTAATGTAGAACGAGCCTGTGGTTTCTAAACGCAAAGCTTATTTTAGTAACTACGTTATCTTCTTTAATTAAGGATGCTGCCGTAAAAACGTTTCCAGATTTCTCAGGAAAGGGACAGGAACTTAATTGATAGGTTCGGGATAGGGGAACGTAGTGATGTTTTCAAAAAAAAGGACACTATATTCTTGTGTAGATTTGTAGTAAAAGAAGGCTCATAAATATGCTCGGCTATTTGAACTTCGGTAAGCTGTACCCGTGCTAGGCGTCGTTTGTATAGGAATGTACGGAAAAACCTCGCCAAGAAGGTATAACACTATTCTTTTGCAAGTGTTTAATTAACTATTAATAAATTTTCAAGCGCATTGGTCATTTGATAGTTTAGAAAAGTACGAACCTGACTGCCGTGTTTGGTAGCAAGAATTGCATATGGAGGGGATAGTTTTTGTGCCATATAGGAAAACTGGGTTATAACGAACATATATGTACAAATATGAATTCTAATTCACAGAAACAAAAATTTAGTTGAATTAAGACGAGCTCAGTCGTATCTTCTGACGTCCCAATGTGTCGCGTATCATATCGTTAGAAATAGGAATTATTTTTTAAACATACAAGTGGAAACAAGTTTCCGAAAGGATCCTTGTTAGATACGACAAGGTATATTCATTTATGGATATCTTCAGATTTGATCCAGATAATAGGGTTGATATTCTCCGGCGTCTTCTGCGACCATCTATTGATGGTGTCAATCGTAGGGTCACTAACAGAAGTGAGCCAATGCCGATAATACATACCGTACTGCTTCCTAAACGGAGTACAAAAAGGTGTCCATCGAATATAGTGTGGTTCGCATAGCTTTGCTATTCTACAGATATGCTACGATACATATCCAAGCTTGCTAACGTAACCCGAAGAAAAGACCTTCTTTTTAGTTAAGACAGTTAATATATTTAGCAATATAATCAATCGCATAATATCTAAAATTATGTAATCTGCTATAATTTGAAACTAAGCAGGTACGCTACCTTGATTTTTCAGGATAGGAAACCCTTAACGTGCTGAAAAGCAAAATTCAATAAGCTCCGTGCGAATTTCTTACATTATTTGGCTGGAAGGATGGGTAGTATGAAGTAGAATGGGTAAAACTTTGAGTGGTATCTTCCTTTCTTGTATCTGTTTTGCAGCAAAAAGGCAAGAAGTTATAGTTTTACGTCAGTGTATTGAAGTTCGTACAGCGAGTAAAACATCGATATCACTCACTTGTCAAAATTTTACATGCAATTAGAGTATACCTCATTAGTAATTCCATAAAGTACTTGATTTTCTAACTGCGCCGTTTACTCAGCCTTGGAAACTATGCAAAAGCTTTTTTGCACAGCAAACACGTTTAAAGAATGAAATCTGTAGGTGACCCCGGGGGTTGTCTACAAATTAATTTAACTTTTCTCTCGTGTCTACTGAAATTATAGTGACCCCGCGATGAGGCTCTGCTCTGAGGTGACGCGCGAACTTCTGAGGAAATTAATAGCAGAGGGCCAGAGAGATCCCAACTATATCGAAGGTCTTAGTGAATCGTGTGGTTCTACGGCTATACCTACGTCCAACGTAATGTTCATTTACAGATATTCTAAAATTCACCGACTCGCCAATTGTCCTAAGAATCATTAGCTTTCATAATATAGGTTCCAGTGTTTTCAAGTTTCCTTCCTTGATACCTCTTGAATGATCAATGACTGCATTTTATGTAAAAGCTTTATTGTGTAAATTATTTCAAGTTTACTGAAAAATCGCGTCACAGCCAGATATGCATTTAACTGTAGACAAAGCTCATTTCCAAACTGGCAACTTATGTCCCCCTAACGTCCGTACTGTAAACTTACTTTCGTATATAGTAAAAACTATTCTACCTCATTTCAGAAGAAGGTTAGGGCTTAGTTTAAAAAACTGTTCAAGATTACAAGGAACGTATATCAAGCCAAAGTCAAGCCATTTTAAAATACGCCACTAATATCTGCATATGCTCTCCGCGCCTCTGACAGATATTTTCCCTTTCCTATGTAACGTAACAAGGTAAATAGATACGTTTGCTTAGATTGTTACCTTAAACAACAAGTAAATAGTATCTTATTCGTCTGTCTATAGCCAAACGAGAACACGAAGCCATCTGGTACTGAAGCAAAAGTAGGAACTTCTTCGCCGGACTTCACAACACAGTGAGTCACTGAAAAAATGTATGTGCGCATATAGAATGAGAATGAACGTATTTAATCAGCTCCTGTTCCGAGCTTATTTACGACAAGGAAAGGGATGGTTGTTCAATTCTCTAGATCAATTCTCTTGTTTTTTTCTAATTTTTCCCAACAAAAAACCATGTAATACTGATACGGTACTTTTGTTAAATAGAATTCTTATTATTGATTTAGCGCAAATGAATATAATTTTCCTAATATTATTATAGCCTCTACATCTGCTCAACAGTTCACACCTCCCCTATAGAAGCACTTGAGTAAATCCTTGAGCACTTGAGGAGGGAAGACGAATCTCGAAGTTCTGTTGATAACATTAGGGAACTTTCTGAAAATATTATGAATATCTGAAGACACATATTCGCTTCTTCAGTATCTTATCTGATAGCCCGCTTTTGTATATAATTTCATAATGTTCTTAAATAACTGAGTTCTGAACAGTAGCTCCGAAATGCTAAATCTAGAAAATTATCATTGAAGAGTTAGAGATAATGGATATAAAAATACAGAAGTAAGTATGACCCAGGCCAGTAACATTTCAAAAAATTGTTCTTTTTTTGAAAAAGCTCACTGCACTACATCACGAATTTTATTAATAGTCAACTAGATGAAAAAATTTTGACATTATTCGGTTTCCAATAGTCTTCATAACTTCCGCATTTTTAAATCGGCAGTAGATTGATACAGCATAAATCCTAAATATTTGTATGTTTATATTTCATTTACAGAAAAAACTGTAGTACTTTCACGTTTCTAGCACAGGAACAAACCGTCGAAAAGACTACCGCTGCTGATACACAAATGCCAAGTGAGTTAGCGCTAGGGTTACTTATACACGTATAAAAAATTTTGGCCCATTCACTGGATTTTCAGCTTCGTTCCCTGTAGCCATATATGTTACCTAATAACATCTTTATTTAGGCATATAGATGAGATATTTTTGGTCGTGTAAATATTTTCTAGGTAGCGAAACCTCAACAAGCAACACTTGCCTATTTGAAGCTGTTTTTTTAATAGAGAAGATTCTAGCTGCTGCAACGCGTTAAACGTCATGATTTTCTCTAACGGCCAGTAGGCCTTTGGTAAGCCCAGTCCTTAGTTTTTCACAGTTCTTGCGTTGTTCTTTTCAGTGAAAGAAAAAATGTAAAATCAATCAAGTGCCCGAACTTCAACGTTGTCACCAAATTTGATGTCTTATTTTTCGTAGAACTATAGTACTAAGCACTAAACCGACTGCTCCGGCACAGAGCAACCAACACGCAGATTCGACTTGCTTTCCTGGGCCATAACATATCTCTATGCTCGATCAGAGAAAATGTCGCTGGAACCAAGCTTTCTGCAGATGCCTTACTATCTATCCGCGCTCTGTTAAACGCGCCAAACATTTCTATACGTCGCTGCATACGCGTTCCGTTTTCTAACCGATCCGAATTAGGCGCTGGGTTTTCCCGTTACGTCCGTTCGAATTGAACACGACTATCAATTTTAGATTGTCTCGAATTTTGTATCGAGCGCCTTGCTCGCTGACGACTTATATATTGCACTTGTTATTCTCCTATTTCTTATAAAAATTACACCTGTACCTACTTTAGGCCCCGTCCAGACAAATAAATACATGTAAAATTTTAAGGTATTCGCTTTATGTAAACCAGTCCTTCGAATCACCTCTTCAAGTAGAAGATCAAAGACATGCCCCACTAGGGGTCTAACCGGAGCCGGCTAGACGATACATAGATAAAAAAAAATTGTTTTGTCTAACAGTACGAATCAAAAGCTTGCAGTTTAATCTCAAGTACGTAGTTAGAGAAGTTAGTAACTAATTTTGTCGAAAAAAAAAAATCAAATTCTGTTGAAATAAATAGCATTACATATTGTGATTAATAATTCTGCATTTAACAAAGACGTCAACACTTGGTAGTGTTACCCGTTATAAAAATTACTGTATTGTTTAGTTTGATTGGAGTTTAGCGCTAATGCTGATAAAATCCCACTTCTTCGTGTCAATCTTTTGGACGATTTTTTATTTGAAAGCTATTAATATGTATATACTAGACAAGTCACTGATAAGGTCAAACGGGATATACTTGTCGGCAAATTTCCTAAGTACAAACGCCGGTAAAAACGGTGTTTTTTTGACACTGAAATGGTCTCGTTCTAACTAGAACATATCACCTTTGTTTTCACGCCGATTGAACAGGTGATCAAAATGGACCGTCTAACGCCCTACAAAAGAGGCAAGACAAGCCTTGGGCTGAACAGAGAATGCCAATAATTCGCCGAAGTGCAGACCGTTATTTACATATAAATAAACCGTCATATAAATAAATAAAAAAATCCTACTCTATCCGTGTATGCCTGTAGCAGGCTTGGGAAATATAACTGGATTATTTTGTCTTCATTCCCGAAACAGCAGGCACGAGTGAAGCAATTCAATTGGCTTCTAGCTTTTGATAGTAAACAAAGATGAAATATAATGGGTATGAATATAGTTATAAAACGTAATATTCTTATGCCTCTTATATATCCTCTTCTTAATAGTAGGAACGAGAACTTTGAAATGCGGGAGTAGCCCAGGATTACGAGAATCTTTATTCTACGTGTAGACAATAGATGTCTATGTCTACAGTATATATATCTGTCAAATGGAAGTTCCCGTGTATAACCAACGAGAAACATTGAGGGTCTGGCTTTATTTGAATTAAGCTCACCGGCTTCGAGAGAGTTACCAGCACTACAGGTGACTGAAAAGCTTTTCTACCGCAGCCACTTCCACCGAATCTGCAGAAAGGCAACGTCTTCGGTTAGTACATTGACGAACTAGGGTAAAAACTCTCTTTTTTTAACACATTCAGTTTCTCTGTCAAAGTAATATTTGACCAAATTGGTGATACATATCGTGCATTTTTAGAGAAGCGTAATATACAGAGATATACTATTGGTATGAACCTCGTCAACGAAGCGTTCAGCTCATTTAAACATATCTCTCGGTTTTTCCTTCATAAATTATGTTGTCGTACATTCTGATATTACAATGGAGATCTATTTGAGTTGCCTGCCCCTTTAAAATTATGGTCTTATCCTTTCTTGTCAAATAACGCATTGGCTGTATGTGCATGTTTCGAACCGTTAAAACAAACATTTGCGTGATATGGCTTCCTTTTCATACAGTAATGGCTACAACTTGGGTCGCATAGTTGCGACGCGTAGGAAAGATGGAGGCTTGAATGAATTCGGGGGCTCAAAAGCATCGTTTGCATAGGTAACTTGAAGTCAAGGCTCAACGATAATACCGAGAAGGCTTTCTACGACCCAGACAAGCGATGCTTGTTGTCCACTGTGTAGCTGTCTGAGTGGCGAGCGTAAAAATTAGTATGTACATTTCCGAACGCAATACATACATGTATGTGAGAAAGTCTAGATTGTGCGCGACGGATAGCATGCGATAACTTCGAAGTAGGACCAAACGTTACCTTCAATGATGCCTACTCAAAGTTAAAATACTATCTATATAGTAGGTAACTATATAGTTTTGATTTTCATTCAACCTAGCATTTCGACCTTAGCATAGGTATGTAACGAGTCGCTTGTTCCAGCTATAATATATAAATAGGGCATCGAATTATAGTAGGTTCGGGCAAAAATTCAGTTCTTTTCATTGGCCGATCGCCCAGTGTTGTATTCCGTTCAGAGGTTGGAATCAACTTTATTTTGTCTAATGTAACTTTTTGAGGAAAAAACATTTTCAAGCTACATTAGAACGTAAATTTTGGACATAACCAATAACGTACAGAATTAATTTGCACATTATTAGATCTAAATTTACAGTTCAATAATCAATAATTCAGTTGTACATTCAGCTATGTAGCACATTTTTCATTTCCGCACATTTTCGTAAAGCAGAGTGTCGCATGTAACAACGGCCATATAAACTACAGAATAATCGCATGTAGAATAGTATTTTCAATAATTAATTGTAGAGTATGGAGCAATACGTATTGTCAACATAAACTTCAACATTAAAAGTGGCGTTCTGAAGTCCAGCGGATTTCCTCATCTCAGAAATGAGGTGCCACTAGCAAAAAGCAATTAATCAGCAAAAAATTGAAAGAACATTATAATTTCTATAATTAGAGCCCAGGATGAAATTTTCAAGTAGCATTGAGACAATACTTAAAAGCACAAATCATCTCGATCATGGATGGTGGAGATGGTGCGTCACGTTCGTATGTTCTTTTTAAGCAGTTTCGCTATCGTATCTTTTGGTCTCGTTTTTCGTATTTAGCAAACTAAAACTGTAAAAAGATGGGCCGCATCGGCAAATTCAAATAACGACAATAGTACGAAGCCGGCCTCACTTGGAAATGTAGTGAAACCGTTATTCGATTTCAATTTTGTCGCACCCCCTTTTTTTAGTTGTAAGGGACTTCATCCGCATGCTCATGCCAGCTTCTGAAGTTAGTTAGTGACGTCAAGTCTGTTTCGTAGAGCCACGAAAAACCCCATCAACAAGATGGCACCTTGAGCAATTAACGCTGGAGGGAGCAGTGAACAGTATGTGTTCGCTTCTAACCTTTGTAGCCTACAGGCCCGGCCAGTGTTCTCACATGTCTTCCTTACAGCCGCTTATAAACCGAGGTCGAATGCACTAATTTATCGAAATAAAAGTAGAACATAATCATACGATCCCAGAGACATGCTAAGCTTTACGCCGTAAGGTCTCGTCACAGTCCGAGCAAAGCTGGTTCCAGCTCGTTAGATAATAACGAAAACAAATAATTGTTCAATGCCGCGAAACAGATTGCGGATGCTATATTATTGGTACTGGGAATCTCGGCTGGCCGGAAACAAACCTTGATGTCGTTGACTTATAGTTTGTCTAATCGTTCGATGAGATGCCCAGCGCATTATATACTGCCGAATACCGAATTCGCTAAGACCCACCGCACTGTTACAGTGATCTCGAAATCGGAGGACTTCGTCTGATATAGTTTCATTCGGATAACACAATATGCTCGTGCTGATCTTACTCGTATTTGTGACTAACGCTGTGGGGAAATTATGGTCAGAATGGCGCTTACAACACTGCATTAATAAGTGCGGCAAGGCACTGCTAGTCAGGGGATGCATGGAGGACCAACAAACGGATCGAGTATGTTCGGGAAACCTGTACTTCGTAAAAAATAACTTCCCAGATTGTAGAAGCCGTTTATGTCATCCAAACGGATATCAGGAATTGCAAAAAGCGTTTTATGATTCCGTCAAGGAACATGACGTTTCTGCACAAAACCTCATTCGAAGCAAAGGCCGACGAGTCGTTCTTACACTTCCTCCAGAAACTCTCGCAGCGTTGTCTTTAGTTGAGTCACGATTTATTGACACGTTCTGGTCGCATAACGCGCAACGGTTGAACCTCACAACAGACCAGAAGAATCTAACCTTGAGCCACCTAAACATAAATGACACTGGCTTTTATTCTTTCTGGGCCATAACCAAAACTATGCAGCGCACCTTACTGTACGCAATTGCAGTCCAGCTGAAATCCCCACCGCAAACAATTCTTGGAACAGGCAAATCCTATGAGCTGACATGTCCCGTGACAACTATCATTCCTATGAACGTATCGTTTGGCATCAACTGGTTCATAAACAACCGTCTACAGCGACGTCTAGGGGGAGCTCCCGTCGTACAAGCCGCTGCTCCTGGCTTGTGGGAGTGCCGTGTATACATTGAGGAACTGGCGAAAGAATTCACGTTGGTTGCCCATCAAATTGCCGTCGTTCCGGCCTATATGAAGTTCATTCGGAGTACGCTCGGAAAAATTCCCTGGGAGGATATAGGAAGCAAAATGTTTTGGATAATATTTACCTACTTCATGATAGTCTGCTCGATTTATACTGCGTTGCGTATCTACAGTCTCTACGCGGAGCCACAACATGTGACTGTTGACAAGCTGTATACAAAGAAAATAGACGCGGCGCTTAGAAAAAACACTTCGTACTCAAGGGAGGACTTTGAAAAGTATTTCAAACGTAATTATTCATTTAATTCGTTAATTGCCCGTAGTACTGAGGCAATGTCCATGTCACCCAACCAGTTGCCACCGGGCAAGCTCTTGGGGAAGAAATTCGTACCCAATGATAGGAAGTTGTCGAAATCGGAAGGTGCAAAATAGATGGTGCACAATTAGAAAGTTTCAATTAAAGAAGAAGACAATGAATGAACCACAGCGATCGTGGCGACTCGAATCGACTACAGACGCTTCGGCAACAATTTGAGTGATTGACTGAAATGTTTGTAAAAATAAAATCGCAGATGTTCCCAACATTTTTTTATGTTAGTCTTCAAAGTGTATCCATTAAAAAGCTACTATTATTATTTTTGCTTGTTTTTGGTGAAGGTAGAACTTGAACTGATATTTGAACTAATGAAAATGTAGAATGTGCATTCAAGAGTTTTCTATATCAGTGCATAAGGAAACGGTTCAATATATGCCGAGAAAATTGCTCGTGAACATTTTGTGAGAAGTCCAGGTCTTGTTGTATCATCCCTATTATCTAGTTGGCGTTGCCAAAGAAGCACCTTTTTTAAGAACAGCATTTGCTGATTAACACGGGCTGAATCAACATCTTCCAACTTCTACATAATTATTGAATGAAAAACATATTTACAGAATGCTGTACTGTGTTTAGATATGTACATTAGAGCTAAATACTATGGACATGTTCTAGAAACATGGCTAGCCCCTATTTTTCCCGTATAAAGACAGTTTTGCCTGCCGCCGCTCCCATATACTTGAACGACTGTAACTGATTATGGAATAATTATACTTCAGCTAACGCATTTTAACGTATCAATCGTAAAACACCGTTATGTATAGATTACATTATCTAATAACCCAATCGTAAGGGAAACCTTGCTGTGCGAGTGTCCTCATAGGCGACAACAATTTCTTGTTATTCTGCTCTTGAATAGCCAATGCGAGCTCGAGAGTACCGCCAAATTTTCTGTAGCTTTAATCATGCTCAGGCCTGTTAATGTTTTGGTGTTTCTGTGTCCCGTGTCGTGCACGTGCAGGACACAGCGAACGACCGCGTTCAGCCGAAGTTCAGCACATCTATGTTGCTCGGGCGGTGACGATAAGACAGCCAATAATCGTCATAAGCCTCCTCATCGTCATTATCATTTGCAGCTTGTCTTCCGTGGCGTATTCCCTGCACGAAAATGCCCAGCTTTGTTGAGCTTTCATAGCAGAACATAGCCCGTGATCCCTACCACACTGTTTTGATCTCTATGGCAAACAACGTTCTACATAAAGGCCATACCGCTTAGATTTGCAATAATTGCAAATAATCTATTTTTATTTAATGTGCATTAATCTGTGGTATATTGTCTTTTATAACATGATATCAACCGAGTAAGGCCTTAGAAGGTCACTTGAGTCAGTCTTTTCTTAACAACATAATCAGCTCTGTTAGGGACAGCTGCGTTAAAGGGATTAGGGAGCATAAAGTTAACGATTTCGTTGAGAGGATTATGAAACGGACATTAATGTCTAAACGTTTATAGTTGCTTACCATGGCTACATTTTCTTATGTGAAGCTTTCCGTTTAGATCATGTGCTTAGCGCCTTTACACCATTGAGCTGCATCATTATTTAAGATATGCTTGTATCTAGCTCTACCTAGGCCTTATGGTTTTGAATACGCTGGCCTTCTTCTCGAAATTCGATTTGCGTCCAATATGGGGCGTCTGCGAGCCGAAGTCGGAGCTAAAATCTGTGACTTCGAAGTATTGATAATGATAATGTTGATCTCTATCTGTTGGTTATATGTTCAAAGTCGTATGTATAATGCATACGAGAACGAAATCAACTAACCCATTGCGCTGGTCCGAGGAACGTAAACGCGCTTTTTCCTTATACCGCCCAAGCCGCTCGTAGGTGTGCTAAGTGTTAAAATACAACGATGATGACGCTGATATAGCCTAAGATAACCGCTCTATCGGTGCAATTTCTGGCCAAATCCAACGGATTACGAGAGCCCTTGCGGTCGAAGAGAACAGATACAAGATTTTTGTATCTGAGAAACATTGATGTGTTAGCATGCGATGTTTAATTCGAACATGGGTCGGCTATAATAGGGCTTGAGCAACTTTAGTCGTCATTACGCGCGACTTAATCATCTTTCCTCGTCAAGTGCCGTTTGTGTGTCAATCGTTTTTACAGGAAAGGTTGATTGGCATCGTAGTAATCTCTACAACGGGATCGAGGATTCCGGATCGACATCAGCACTGAAAAATTTAAAAATACCTCAAACAATCTCGTATGGCACGTCTCAACGTAACTCGCAGAATTGAAAAAGATGGTAAATTACAATAAATAGGGGGTTTCTTACAAAATATTGGGTTCTGCTTAGCCATAAAGTTTGCAGCATTCATACTCGGCTTTCATATTCTTGAAGAAGTCATTTAACCTTTTCTTGTCCTTCTCGGTTTCACCAGTCAAAATGCCAACCTAGGTTGCCTGCCAGTTTGTTTTGGGCTGCTCTTGCATGGAAACCTATACCGGATTCGGTGATTTCCGGCACGTTGAGCTGATTTTGCCGACTGAATTGACCAATATCCTATTCTACTGCTGCCCAGCACAAACAGTAGTTATTTACCTTTTAAAACGGCCTAAACACACCGGAAGAAGTGGCCAAATTTTATATTCCGTTTCTGGCCACCAGTTCTTTGGAATCCACCTTTGGCGACCTCATCGATGCGCTATTAGTAGCAGTGAGCTTCTTCTAAAGTCCTTCATCCCCGCTTTCTAGTACATTTCAATAGGTCTGGATTTTTCAAGGACGAAGAAGAAATGATATCATAGCCGTCAAATTCATCCTATTGTGTTTCTTTAACGAAACTAATTGTATGTCGCGTCTTTTACCCCTTCCTGTAAAAGTGTATATGTTGCTCGAGCTTACCAAAAGCATATCCCGTGATGAATGTGATTTTACTCAGTCCTGCTTGTCGGGATCTTTGTCCTTCTCGCCCGGATACGTTAAAACCATTCCTTTTCTGAGCCTTTTTTGGACCCGGCTTATTTTCCGCATGAAGTTTCCGCGTCATTTAACGTGGGATTTGATGATGTGAAGTAACCATACGAACTTGTAACAGAATCTGTCTTTTGATCTGTAGATTGGTAAATGCTTGTCAAATTTTAATCTTATTTGTCAAAAAAAAAGGGAATGACTATTGAAAAACCTAACGCGTCGTAAGCTTCCGTGATGCAAACAACCAAATAAATCTGCCCCAGCGATTGACCACATGGCGCCGAATTACCCAAAAGTCCTCATCAAATATATACATTATTTAGAGAAGACGTGTATTAAATAGATAAATGTTATTTAAATAGCTCTAGGAAAAACAGTGTGCCGTCGATATATAATATTCCTATGACCTAATATATAATAATCTGTGATTTATCCGGCAGAAATCCGTAAATTTTTATTTCACTTTGTTTCACAGGTTGCTAGTCCGGCGCTAGTCAAGCCTGATCTGTTGATTAACCACAACCTTAAAATGGCACATTTATAGATAAGTCTGAATCCTAAGTCGTAGTTGCAATGTTTTACAATGGTGGCTGTTATTAATGGATTGCTATTTAAGAAGTCTCGAACTATAGTTACCTAAAAGTAGTTGTCTTCTACAGCTGCGAAAAAAAAAAAAGAAGACGACAAATTGTTTCAATTTCGTCTTCATTGAAGCTTGCAATAGCTTCGGTCTTGGCCAAACACCCAGTGCTTGACAAGTTGCAGTTGACTCTCTGCTTGGATCGCGCTGCTTATACTCGAATCGCGATGAGCTCCTTCATGTGGACGTTCTTCAAACGCCGTCATAAATCGTTCACTTTCTTTCAGGCCAGCAGACTTCAGAGGCAGTTTTTTTTTTTTTTATGGTGGTCGTTACAAATGTAGGACCTCATCTGTGCTTATTCAACCCTAAGCCTACGGAAGCATGCAATCAGGTTTCTCTAACTAAAGACTTATTTGTAACAGACCTTAAGGGCTTTTGTTGCTTTTCGTCTTCAAATTTAGTCCAGTCGACTTTTTTCTAATTCATGACTAGAACTAGCGTTCTTACCAAACTCGGAAGTCTCGGAAAGAGCCACGAAAAAATTCTGCAGAAGTCGTTGCGCTCTTGTACTAGACCGACGTTGCCTAATAAGTCTCTAGTCTTTTAAGGTAAATAAAATTATCATAGATAAGGCACTTGTTCAAGCTTGATTTTAGAAATAGTCAAACGTATTTAAACCGATTTAAAGCTGTTGTCGTTTTAAGTATATAGACAATGCTAAAATGATTAATGCATGCATTTTAAACTTCGCTTATCTCTGAATCGATCTATGGATGTGCTTAGACGCAAGAATCCTTCATAATATTGAATATATGCGCAACTTGTTTTTACATCTCATTTCTAGTATATCACTCGTGACCGTTTAACTCCAGCCAATAATTTATAGAATTTCTGCCATCTTAAAGCAAAGAATTGCCTAATCAATACGTTACCAATTTATGAACAAACGATTTCCTTTAGCTGCATCTAATTTTGTATTCATACTACAACGCTTTTCTAGCTGGTATACGCCTGCCGTTTTTCGACATTTTCATGAAACTAGCTTTCCGTAAGAAATTTCTACGATGAAAAATTCGTCTGATTCATATGAAAAGTTAATTCGACGTACTAGAATGACCCTTTGCAGCCGTAACACAACAATGAATAGGCTCCTTCTATATAATATAAACTGTTACCAATCCTTGTATATAATCAACCGAAAAAGGATAGAAGGGGGGGGCCTAAACAATTAGCTAATTTCGTCTACCTTGAATTTCGGAACCTTAAGACTACCTATTGTGCATTACTAGATTTCTGATGTAAGAGGTTTATCGATGCTTCTTTTAGATAGGGATTAACTTTATAGAAATATACTGTAACGGGTGAGTCATATGTATTGCACCGGATCCGAAGTTGGGCGTTTTATATCTTTTGAGTATAACTGAGCTACTTCCCGAGAATACCACAAGACATCGTTAATATAGGTCATTAGGGCGTAACAAGGGGTCATTTCCTCCATGAATTTTATTTTAGCAGCGTACTTAGGTCGTCAACCGTAAACTGTGGTAGGTCACACACACCCATAGATGTGTGAAGGGTCATTCTTGCTAAGGTAGCTTATATCGCCTTTCTGGGTGGTAGGATTAACATGTACAAAGATTTTACGGCGAACTCGATTACTTTAGGACGAAATCTTTAACAACTTAGAACACGTTTTCCTTTTAAACGTTGTTTTCCGAAATACGAACTATTAACCAGTAAGCTCGACAAACGAGCTACACTATATCGCTAGATTCAGTACAGCCTGTGCTGCTAGGCATAACATAACCATCTTAGTCGACATTTCCGTTTGATATGTTATGGATCGGCCACTGTTCCCCTGCCATGCAATAGTGGGATCCAGTGCTCCATTCTTTTAGGTTTCGTCGACCTTGTTCTTCGGGTTTTCTATTGACCCAGCGGTCACAGCGATAGCAGCAGCAGCAGCAGTAGCAACGACAACAATAACAACAACAACAACAACAGGACAAGAGCTGTTCGCAAAATCTCTCTCTGTAATATCGAAGATTACTCTCTCTCTTTATTTGCTTCCATCGTTCATTGACAATACTCCAACTTAGGCAAGGGAACCTGTGCAACGTCATAGACTTACCAGCATCTTGACGATCCTTTTGAGCACTACCCAAACCGGTCGGTAGCAACGACACGGCTCTAGTAAGGTGCAGATTTACAAGACAACTGCTAGTTCTATTTTTGCAATTGCATGTCTTTAAACTTATCGTTTTTTACTCGGAAATCGTGGCGGAAATGCAATCGAACCTTTTCTTGTCGGGTGAAGTTAGCCACAATTATCTGAGTCATCGTCTCTGACTTTTTGACCAAATTAAGCACATACGTATGAGTATTTGCGCAACCGATAACGACTGGTATGCCCCTAATCGATCTCCGCAAAATACAAAAAACAACAAGCACCAACTACGTTATCTATACCTATCCATTCGCACTTCTGTGCGATGTCATGTCCATTTAACTAATAATTATTATTTAGAGCAGATTCAATGCTATTAGAAATAGTATTGAAAACATACTTCCCAATTGGCAAGGAGGGAAGGGGAGGATTGGGTAGTATGTACAGAAGGTTGGTCTTTTTCCGTTCAATTCCGTGTATTTTTCGTATAGCTGAGCCCGGCATTACGTGTTTCGTCGCAGTGGCGAGCCTCATTTGCAGTGTTTTAATAACTGCATGTTACGTTCAAGTTGAAACTTTTCATCTCATGTTTTGGCCTAAGAATAAACATCAAAAAGCTGCTCCTCCTCTTATTCTTCTAATAGTTTTCTGCCGGTTGAGCTGCCGTTGAAGAAACATACAGCACTGAAAATGGTGAGATCCTATTGGCTATATACCCCATACATGTACAACAGTTAATAATAGTAATAGAAATTACTCGATCCTGCGAGTCGTCAGCTAGTTGCGTCGTATATTTATCGTATCATAGAATCGATTGTGAAGTTATTACATGAAACTTGAACATTTGAAAAACGTACGTTGTAACCCTGTTGACATCCCATAAACAAAGCCTACTCTGATCCATTCATACCAGGGGAAAAAAAACATGAACTGCCCAGCGAGGTGGTGCTCACCTTTAGTTTATTCGCCCTAATTATCTGATAGTATAATGCTGATAGTCAGCTGCCGAAATGTCATTGCCTATACAAGTATAAAAAAGTATCTATAAAAGGTGTAAAATTTCAATTGAAACTATTTGGAACTTTCGACAGTGATTGAACATAGCATATATATATATATATATGTTATTTATCTTGTATATATAATGGTTTGTACAAAAACACTCCAAATATAATAGAGTTCAGTAAAATGCGCGGCGTACTTAACTTTGAGAATATTGAATTTCTATGCTCAGCCTGCTCTAATCTGCTTCTAAACAGTTTCTGAATATCAATTTAAAATCAAACTAGAGAATTCAGGTCTAACAGTTGGGTACCGTTGATCACTTCGGGGCGTCAGTATAGAAGACAATTGCATGATCAATCGCTATCTATGCTCGTTGGAGACGACTACAGATAGAGCCTTGTCAAGCCCCCCATACCAAATAATCACATCGTTTAAATTACCGCGATGAGGACAGTAAAAACGAGAAAAAGATAACTTAGCAAAACAAGGAAGCACACATAAATGGCATTATGGCGAAGAAGATTCGTATGTCGACATAATGAATTACTGAACACTAGATAAATCACGAAAAAGGACCATTCAGATGTAAAAGATATTTATACTATATGTGTAGGTCTATCAAAATTTGCTAACTGGGCTAACAGCCAACTGGGTCCGAGATATATATGTCTTACTTTTTCTATAATTTTTGAAACTATATTGGAATCGAATGGCGAAACCCTGACGCAAGCTAAAATTGGCATTTTTCCGCTAAGATGCACAAAAGATGGTCATAAATCACCTCGTTAAGAACTGCTTTTTGATTTGTGAACGCTAACTGAAGAGCCACTTAATTTACACACGTTAATAAATAAACTCTTCTTTTATTGATTAATCTATATGTAAATAAATATTTTGCACTGGATATCCAAATATACCTCGCAGCAGATCAGAAATCACAGCATCGCGTAAAGAAAGGTGATGGCGGTATTTTTCCTCCTAAAATTTCGCGACTGAAACAGAAAGACACATGTTTACTATTTTGCGTCGTATAATTAACGCGCAATTCACGTGGAAAGGTCTCGTGTTTTGCACCTCAGTTCTGTATCCTAAACAAAGTTAGCTGGTCTTAAATGTAAGTTGTATTTGCTTCCCCCCCCCCCCCTCCCCGATTGTGTTCCGTGAAGACAGCAAACGAGAACTGTTGAGTACGAAAAGCTGAGAGGTATTTCCAAATAGACGGATGAGACATAGTAAACCAAAATTCGGGGAAAATGATCATGCTTGAATGACGCACTGAAGTGTATAGTATCTGTATAGTAGCTATAGTCTCTGATATCGCATACGATGCCTTTATTAAATAAAATAAGTACTAACTAATATAGATCGCAGACGTAATCGTTGTTCGTTATGCTGCAAAGCTGTTGTTTTGCCAATAAATTGGTTCTGATTAGTTATTAATCTATAATTATTGCTAACAGTCAGGTAGGATAAGGGATCAATTTAGCAACTAGGAACACTTACATAAGTGGATGGTAATCGATATGAGATGGTACCAGAAGTCTACGCATCAGGGGAGCTTGGCGACGCAGAAACTCCTCAAGATTCCTGTTTAAATAAAACCGTGATGGGAATAGATGTCGCCTAATAACATCGATTCAGCTAATGAGTAGTCCTTCAAAAAGCGCAAAAACGCCCATAAACGCAATTGAATATATCGATATACCCGTTCGCTGAGTGAACGTCACACAATTGATTAGGGCTATTTTTGGGATGCCTTGTACTGATGGCAAAACCTAAAGCAGAATTACACAAAAAAAATAGATTGTAGATGTGTAAACAAAATAAGGTTGTCGCTCCACTCACATGTGCGTTCGACGGGGTTTTCCAAAGCGATTCCGAAGCGCTCCATCTCTTTCAACCATTTTAAGGAACATTTCAACAACTTCCGCTCGCGCGTTCTCCTTAGCCTGACCGAGCATTTGGTCTCGAATATGCTGCCAGCGAACGCGGTTGGCTTCTTGGAATTGACGCCGTTCACTCTTACGAAGCAGGAATGTGGGAATCCTAATGTTTCGACCAATACAAAAAAAAGATGAACTATCATTAACTGTTTTCTAGTAAATAAATAGTAAAAAAGTTATGGAAAGATATTTTAAAACTTAGTGGTAATACGTGACGGGACGATGAACTTACATCATTTTAACGCTAACGCAGTGACACGACTGATATAAATCTGATAAAAGTAGTGTTTTTTTTTTTCTATTATATAAAAATGAGGTCATATACGAGAAAATCTTCGCGTGTTCGTTTATTTAATAGCCCCTCCAAACTTTTTTGCCATGATGTTTACAATACCGTCTTTGATTTTTTTCGCTAAGTGAGCTTTTCTATACTTTTTCTAATCGATTCTAAGCGCCGTTCATTGTTAGAGTTCTAGCTAGACCCTGAAGTTTAAAGCTGTGAAAAAGTTTACCTTGAAGGTGTATACTCAGATACCAGTCTCATGAACCTATGGAACTCGTCAGCTGATAGATCTGCGCGAAAAGCCAGCACCTGAAACCTTCTCAGAAGACGACGCAAATTTCGGTTCCGCATGCGTTCATGGTTTCGCAGGGCCCCGTGGACTATTTTCTAAACGTGAACAACGGTTAACATAATCAGTCTCTTTTACATATAAAAGTACTTAGTAATGTATCTAACGAAACAGGAAGAATGCAACACAAGCAAAAAGGCTCCGCTAAGGGGTCATACATTTTAATTCATGACTAAGTTTTATAACTTAGTCATGAATACCGTGAAATATTCGGTGTGAAGTGACAATTAGTACATTTGTTATTGGTTTTTGTCAAATCTATTAATTGTCGATGAATTAAATAGTTACCGTAATAATGTCTTTTTCGATTGTTTCGTCTTCGGTATCCCATACCGACGGTCTCAAGGGTTTCTTTTTTTTTGAATTTGCCGGCTTTTTTTTGATGTCCACAATTGAGGTCGTTTCGACTTCAGAACTATCATCATCTTGATGGGCGTGGTCTTGCGGTTGACGAGTCGAGTGTTTAGTGCTAAGAAAGACCCCATTTTTAGAGATCGTCGACATGGTGCCCAGTCGCTCAGTTGATGTTAAGCGTGAGGCTGTAGTTGAGCGAGAGTGCGAAGACTCTTGAGGTATCGATGTTGTTGTCAAGGTAGCGACTATCGAAGAAGATTCAGTGGCTGTCGAAGCACTTTTAGGGGTCACTCCGAGTGAGTCCATAGAGCGCGTGGTTTCTACTGCTGTAGTGCTTGATTCTGTTGGATAGTGATGAGAAATGATATTTATTTTCTTAATGCTGTAAACCCCATATAAAATAGAATTTTCGAGAATTTATTGCTTACATCGGTTTCGAATTTATGTTCTCAAGGCAATTTTTCATGCTTAAGGCCAAACATGGCCGCTTATTTGCAGCGAAAAAGAACCGCTTCACCCCTATCAACAGTATATTATATATAAAAATGTGTACTATTAGGGTGTATATACTCTAAGCTTCTGAAATAATTGCAATACACTGCAGTATCAATAGGTTTTATGCTAAACGTTTTTAGCTAAACGTCATAATATAAAAATAGCAAAAAAACGAATCACTTTGAATTGTGTTTGCTCATCGAAGACAATGCTCATAAATAATTAGTCCATCGCATATATTTTGTCATCAATTTCGATACTCCTCGACAAGTGGTCCAATGAGGTCCTCGATTTAAGATTTTTGATGTTTTCCTAGTATGCAATAGATATAAAAGCTTTGCTTCGCGTTAGGTACAGCTAAAACGATGTCCTGTTTACTAGGATCGCCACAATAGTAGGCTATTTATTGAACTTTCCGCAGGACATGTTCCGCATTACCGTCTGACTGAGCAGGGTTTTTGTCGTAACCATTTTGAGAATCTCCTTGGAGAGATGGATGTTTATCGAAAGAAATCGCGTTAAGGTCATCATCGACAGCCTGGTAAAGAAGATCCAATGGGGAAGGCGTGCCGGTGACATCTTCAACTATCTCTGGAAGGTGCGAAAAAAGAAAGATCATTTCTATTAGTTTAATTTTATTATTCGTTTTATAATCTGTTTGTGGAAATAGACGTCTGCATATTGGACGTCTTGAGCACTCACGAATATTTGGAATATCCGTGGATATTCCAAGTCACCGATAGCCAAAAGTAAAATTGAGGCAGCCAGAGAAAGAAAAATACACCGATAAATTTGAAGATAATAAGAATTCACACCATGTTTGTAAAGACAAGACTATAAGCCTTATTTTTAACATTACTTTAATGGACCCATAATTTGCCATTCAATCTCTCGACTGCTTCCATTGTTTTGTTTACATCATAAAACCTTTATTTCGGGCTCTAATAATAGGTATATCTGATGGAAAAAGGGCGTCTGCGGCGTCGTTTCTCGTTGAACTGCCGAAACAACCTTGTGTCGACATGATATATGCCAATCAAACCCAAGCTCCCCAAAAATTGGGGGCCAAGTAAGTAATACGGAGAACATCATTACTAAGTAAGCCTATGTCGATTAGCTATAATGCCTGATCATTCGCAAAAGAGCTGTTGTCTTCTGCATTGTGAGCTTAGAAAAACCTACAATAAGGTAAAGGATACCATTTTGGGCCACTCGACATAGATAGCATATACGCTTGAAACAGAGATTAAATTTTATGATGGCAATGACAGATCTATGCATTCGTCATACATACGACTCGGCCGTTAGTAAACAATCATGCCAGATACAAAAACTGTTAGTTTAATATCATTAGCCTATAAAATTCGCCTATAAAATTATTTAAAAAAAATGAACTGGTAGTAAGACCGTTTTATTAGAAAATTCCCACCGCTACGACGAGCAGTTGTCATATAATGAATTGCTTCCATAGAAAGCTAATATAGTCAACGCAATAAAAAAAAAAATGCTAAACAATACGCGTACACAGTTTATGAACCTGGGTAGACTTTTTAAACGGATAACATCTATTAGACTAGTTTTCCTAATTACGCTGTTATCAATATCTGTGCACTAACTAAAAAATACAGTGATTTACTTCATATAGTTTCCAAATGATTCCGTTTTATGTCATATGACGACTACCTAGCAAGCTTTCTAAGGAACCTTCGAGGTGGAAAACACGCGTCACTTACCGTTAGCCACCAGCTCGGAAATTATGTATTGATTTCCTTAAGATTTGCCTAGGAGCAAAAAAAAAACACTATGCCAAGACACGGCTTTGGAAACTTACCTCTAACAGCTAAGGATGTCTTCGTCGATGCAGAATCCACTATGTATATGAGAGTACACAGCAGTATGAATCGCGTTCCCATCCTGATTCTTGTTAACCCGATCCCTGGTAGGCACCCTCTTCTCTATAGATGCGTGCAATAATCAATGACGACGCGCGGAGTTTGTTGGCTTACTTCTATAATTAGATACCCGGTCACTTCAGTCCCGTTTCGTCCGACAACCGTAGAGTGCTAACGCAATGAAGATGATTTTGACTTCTACCCACCGATGGCTATTTAGCATCTGCCCATGGTCCACGATGTAGAACTGTGCTTTGCCATGATTCAACGTGTACTCGCACCACTCTTCGGCGGTAGCGACCTGCCACGGCTTCGCAATAGACCGCTCTATTCACCGGCGTAGCTACCGCAGGAACATCGATTCTGGGACAGTGTTGGCTCTTCCTAGCGACGCCCGGTACATAACAGTACCGACAACGAGTTTCTTTTTTGACGACAGACTTCTAACAGTAAAACAGGATCAAATAGTACCAACTGAATTGCAATGGCAACAGTGACGGTAGTGGCCGTACTAACCACCAGCTGAGCGACAGCGAAGGCGTTCAACGACAAATGTAAACACTTCTGATATCTACGTTTTGGCGTAGCGGCGCCGCAGCCGTTAATGGCTTCGTTTTCGCTGCAACTTGTTCTTCGGCTGTCTGTCTATGTGCCTCTATAAAAGATACTGGATGAGTCTGGCATCGGCGACGCCAACGCCGTCGCTGCTGCTGCTGCTGCTGCTGCCGTAGGATGTGTTCGTGTGTTCGTTGTTTCTCTCTGATTCTTCGCTGTTCACACGACGGCTCGTATTCGCCGCGTGTAACCGGGTTGACTAGCGGAAAGGGCGCCTGCCATCGGCGACCTGGGCCCTCGTTTTATACGCGGCTGTAGTCGCCACCGGCATCGTCTTTGGAACGACTGCCACAGATTTGAGCCCGCTTCTGTTGCCACCATTTTGAAAACTCGAGATAAAATCATATCAGTATCACTGTAAGGGAAAAAAGCCATTTTCTTGTTTTCAATAATCTATCACCGTAAATGTAATGCTGTACACTGACGAAGCCTGTAAGGGGAAATGGGAACATAAAGCGTTCGTTTGTCTTGCTAATTTACACTCTAATAATATTTTATTTTTCCGAAACAAAGTGTCTGCAATGCACAAAAGCCGGAAGGACAAGTAACAGTGCACTAGGTGACGAAAGAGAGATATTAGTTCAACGTTGTTTTTAGCGGATCCTTTTTGTCTAAATTTTCATTGGGAACGTTCACTAATATCTAACAACAGGAAGAAAGATTGATTTTTTTTTATCTAACTCTTCTCTTTAAGTGTTGACCACTGTTTTTTTAACATTAAGCAAACCGAACATAAATTCAAAATTATGCCAATTAAAATAAAGAAATATGGTAACTTTCTGCTTAATAAAGCAAACGCAATGTAGGCGTCCTAACGGTGGTTGGCAGAAGTGTTATTCCACCAATAGTGTAATTTTGATTGCTCAACATGATAGGCCCCTAGGTCTAATAATTTCCCAAATGAATTCTTGAATTATATAAAGATCGGAACTGCTTTGAAAACATATAGGAACAGGTTTAATGACTGTATCAACTGAATTCGGTAATACATCTGTCCTACTATTCGGTCCTTGCCTTTCGGTGTTCTCATCCTATTCTCCGTTGAAATACAGGTTATGTCATATGCATATTATCTTGCTTGGTTTTGAACACCACGATCAATCAATTGCTAGTTGTCCGATAGAAGCATTTATTGGCCCGTGCTGATATTTCTAGCTTGCCCCAGAAACCGACGTTCATCTAATGCGTCATCAAATTCTCCTTACACTCCAGCTCTGAGCATGGGTCCATCTGTCGTTTCTCTATCTAGATACAGATGGCACTAAAATTTCAACAATGACGGTAAAGAAGGCCACGCACCTCATACGCAGACAGATTCGTATAGACATACATCATTAATGTAGTAAGTCTTAGGGAAAATCGTATTGCTCGCCGATTGCGTCTGTCATGAACCATTAAAATATTCCGTCGTAGATATCGGTTAATAAAAAACCTCGATGCGCAATTTTCAGGTCTGTATTTCTGTTCTATATAATCCCAGACAGGTTCTATATTTCGAGCTTTACGTCCGGTATCGACGTTGCGCATTACATCAGCCATTTGGTTTCCAGCCATTTCAAAGCGGAGTCTGTCTGTCTGTCTGTCTATCTATCTATGCCCGGGTCTAAACTAAGGATATAGACAGCCTAATATCAAAAATCAAACCCACTACACAGCCCGCGATAAGACTCCGCCTGCACAAATAAATAAGCAAACATTCAGACCAGAATTACGTTTCTGTAATACGTAAAATTGGCGGACTTTATATACTAGTCACGCGACCTTATATACTAACGTCAAACTTGTACTGGTTTAAAGTCTCCAAACGGTCATACCTTGTACCTAAAGTAATGCAACAATTTACCCACCGGTTTCACCGCAGTGTCGTCTAGTCTCACAGAAAACAATAGTTAATTTGTTTATAAATTTCCTTGGAAATTGAAACAAACTTCAGTAATCTACGATCGTGATCACCCAGTACACCGATTACTATCAGAGACAGCGATAAATTAAAACCCAGCTAAGCATGCCGGATAGATCTAAAAAGATCACGCCTAGATCCCTGAAAGGGTGACTCAATAAGAAACTAATTGAAACACAAACTACCAATAAAGTAACTTATAATACTACAGCCTTTGTCAAAATATATTTAATTTTAACTTCAGAAAATACGAAATCAGTAAATTGCAAACCATACCATTTCGAAAATGAATATACACACGGAGCGTATTTAGAATACTAAATGAAGCATTTGTGCTGTTCATGATTACGAAGCGTTATTGAACTCAGAGATAATATCAGTGCTCTTGTTCTGAAAATTTCCATATGAAAAATGTTTCTCATAATAATCGACTAGTTACAGAAACTTGCGACAGCTGAGAGCAGCTAAAAGACAAAATTTCCAATACGAAATCGTTTCTGATCATATCATTTAAAGTTGGCTACAAGAGAAAATTCGATGTCTGAATGTTAACGCAAAAGAACTTACCTAATCATAGATCGAATTGCGAAAGCCAGGCCATTTCTGACGCAGTTAATCACGGGTTATGAAAAGTGGATCACAAGAATCGTGTGCAAGAAAAAAAAAAGCGTGCCTCGTGGCAAAGCTCAGACTGACGCCAAACAAGGCGCTCCGCGGCAAAAAAAATGATAGAACTTGCATGGGAAATTTGAATATATCTGCTGTATAGCCTGGGTCTTGCAGTACGAGAATATTATGTGGTCCAGCCTCTGCTGAACTTCTTTGATGGTGTTAACATAATTTCAACAGAGGAATGTAAATATATATGTCGCAATTTTTCGGCTAGCTCATAAAAATTAATCCTTAATAAAAAAAAATTAGGTTGTCACGAATGTTAGGATATCATAGGTTGTATAGAATTTAGTAGTATTATTTTAAACCACAAAAGCTTCTATTTCTATGGTTGAAAATAATACTTACTATGTTAGCTTAAAAACGATCAATACTTCTTCAACGACCCGTTATTTTTTTAATTATTACCTGTACCCCTAAAAACACGTGCAAAGTGCGAGGGACACGTCAAAAAGGTTTTAGTTTTTTAAAAAAAAAAGTTTTTCGCAAAACTGAACCGGTCACGCGGATACGTTAGAGCTATGATCAACTTATCAGACACGGTATTTATACTGCGCTTTCCTCCAGAGTAAACATTGTCTCAGAACTCAAAGGTTTATTTCTCGTGCACAAATGTACACTTCACTCTTTAAGCCATTCAAAACTAAATCTGCATAAATAGCATTGCACTAAAGTAGTCTAAACATAGCAACTTAGGCAAGCTTTAAACCCTTTAGGAGGTAATCCAAACATCAAGTACTGCCATTCGTCGGATTGCCCAGTTTGTGAACCAAAAGGTTAGGTAGATCCAACACGTTATGCATTTTGAAGAAATTGTTTAAAGCTGTCAAGTAGGACATCAGTCGCAGACTTTTGCGCTGTCGGTCCAGCCGAAGGATTGTACGAACGAAACAGCTCCCTTTGGAATGTTTGAAGAAAATTTTTCCCGCCTCCCTGACCGTTCTGGGTATCTTGACTTTGCTGGCTGCCAATTCCTCTGAGAAGCGCACCAAGTAATTGTTCGGCTTGGCCGCCGGTACGCGCGTTGACGGGACCACTAGCTGTATCAGAATTTACCGGATTTTTATTAGATTTCAGCGTCTGCACGAGATTGACTACGAACTGGCTTCCCTCGTTATCTTGGTCTTGAAGGCGTTTTACTAAGTTATCGAGGATTGCTGCCTGGGTCGAAGCCGCAAACGTTCCCTGTTGGGCCCCCAGTTGCTGTGAATTCTGATAAGTCTGCTGCAGCTGTTGAAGGAAACTGGCAAAGAAGTTCGGAGGTCCCTGACTACTTGAAACGGCTGATCGGCTATTTACTCCTGCCTGGGGACTGATAATTTTCATGAAGCCGCGAATTAACTTATCCAGAAAACTCTTCTTAGGTTTGGGCGTTGTCGGTGGCGGCGGTGCAGGATAATTTGGTGGAGTTGGTTGCAGCGGATACTGTGGCACGGTTGGAGTTGGTACAGCTGGTGTTGGATAAAAGGCGGGGTCTGCAGTCGGCGCAGGATGCGGTCTAAAAGGAAGCTCAGGTGCAAAGGGCTTCGATGGGTCAGGAGTAACAAGATCTGAAGGCATGCGAGGTTCGATTGTTGGCGTCTCTATGGGGTGATGTGGTGGGAAATGCACAGAATCCGGACGTTTGGTTGGCGAGTTAACAGGCGATTTTCCAGAAGGATCTCCAGACTTTTCAATGAGGTCAAGGATTGCTAAAAGCTCATCGCGTGAAAAGTCAGGCAAATCAGCTGTTGGATCCTTACGGCGACGACCCCCTGAAAGAGAACCATATGTAAAAAGCTATTAGGTCGTTTCGAGTTTTACGTCCGGTACCTACGCCGTTAAATGCATTATATAGGTGCCTGCATTAAACTGTATACCCAACAGCCTGTAGAAAATGCTTCAGAAGTGTTTCGTTTTTAAGGCACTGGATTGACTGATCATTTTCGTTTTTATATAAAGCTAAAGGTAAAGGATTTTTAATATAAAAATCCTTAATAATATTCACAGAACCACCTCGATCTTTTTTTCGTACTACGTTAAAACATTTTGCTGCGGAACATACTGGAGGCCGTGAAGACACGCACAGTTTCCGAAACGGTAACGATAGGATAGTTAGCGCACTATCTAAAGTACCAGCCCTGAAGGGCGGCAGAAGCCGATGCTTGATATGCTGACGTGGATTTTTCGCCTAACTATTTCAGTCCGACTTGGTAGCCATCTGCTTTACTAATTATACACTCACTATAAACACTATAGTTACGGACACTTCCATTGTTATAGAAGGCATGAGGCTTTATTATTGGGTACCGTCGTTGATAACCTTATCCCACTGAATAGCCAACAACTGGGAGGACACACAAACGCAAAAATTACAAATGAACGTTGATAAATTTTTGTGTGGTTATAAATGTGCACCCTTAGACCTAAACATTAGTTCCGTTTCGTTAGATCTTTAACCTAGGCTAGAGTCTCGAAGCTTAAAATTTCTCTCCTTGAACTACGTTACGATTTATAGCCAACTCCAAACGGTAAGCAAACGTTGGGATTTGTGGTGTACCATGTATTGCGATAATGCAACTATCCTGCAAAAGGAAGCAGATGCCAAACTAATCCCTAAATATCCATGACAAAGCTAGTATATATTATGTAGTGGTTTTAGTGAAGAGATCAGACGTATTAAAAGTGACACACACTAGAGGGTCATACAACAGTATTTTTTTATCATTCTTTAAAGCGACCTTTTACCTCAAATTATAGTTAATACAGGGACATATTAAAGCTGACGTTTCCGGGTCGTTGCTCGGCAAATCGTTACCAAACATTTGCCAATCCTGCGAGCTACTTATAGACCTTGTGAATTCGATAATAGCTAAATTAAACGATCCATTAAATTAATTAGACGTCAGTTAATGCATTGACAATCTCTTACAGTGGCTTGGGTTCATTGGTAACAGCTTTCAACAGAGCAGAATAAACATCAGCGTATAGAAGTCCTTGATGCATGCTTAGCATGGGTTAAGCTTACCAGATTGTAGCGTTGGCCCGCTTCCAGCTTTCGCAGTATCCTCTATGCATGAGCCTAATTCTATTGTCACCACTAGCAAAAACGTCGACACCTCAATAAATCTCCTCATTTTCTTCAGCGGTCGTGGCCTGTCAACGCGCTGATGCATTGTACAGATTAGACGCTAAATTGATATCGTTTCCAATGCGATTCATCAGCAAAGCTCGATTATTCACGATAGAACTAGTTACCGTTAACGTTAAGAACAACAGCGATCAATAGATGAGACCGAAGGGAGCCTGTTGCGAGCACGAGCACCAGTTATTCCAGCTTGCCGCTAGTTTTCCTTCGTTTCTGGTTCTAAAAAGGTCTTTGACAACTAGCGGTGGCAACGTTTTCTCAGCGCAACATTTACCAAGCAAAAATGGACTGTTTGTCGCTGGCTGTATAGTCGTTTAGCAATAGCAACTATCTATCGTGCGAAAGATCTTCACGGTAGGCGATAACCAGCAGATGGCGACTGGGCATTAAACGGACGATAATTGGCACGCAGTAGACAGCAGTCACAGTGGGCTACTCAATGGCTAATGTTTATTGCTCGACATCTGTCCAAGGGTGCTGTATCCCTCCGTTCTAAGTTGACGCGCGCGTGTGGCGTTCTTCTCGTCGCCCCATCATTGTTATGTAGTACTTACTGGCAGGAATGTTCGACTGCCAGTCCGGATAAGATGAGATAAAGAAGAAAAAAGAGAAAGTGGTGTCTTGACGGCGTTTTTCATATAGAGATTTCATACGTACTTTCAGTCATCGTGAGCTGCCACATCGGCCAAATCGCAAATCATCTGAGAAACACGCATAGTTGTGGTAGAGAAGGTGGACAAGAACGAAACTGTAGTTTACTCACTTTACTCCAACAGTTGTAAATTGTCTTATTTGATGCGCCTTCTCAAATAAAAGGACGCTTACCCAGTAGCTCTACACTGCAGATGTGGCATCGCCACCACTGCTGAGGATGCATGCAGCGCTTCCAAGATCGTATATAGCACTCGAAAAAGATACCTTTTCCCATTTTATCTATCAGCTTTTGAAAGGTGAATCCCGTCACCGAATTAGTTTTCGTTCTGGTAACAAGAGCCTGCAACGTTTCTCCCCGTCGATGAAGCAAAAATAAGTTGTAGCATTTATGGCGCACGAATTCGATATGTTGACTGAGACTGTGTTCTTGATTAATATGAACTTTTTTATTTATGGAATATGGAGAATTGTGGAATCATTTGCCAACGACAAAAAACAAACGCATGAATGAACCATACATTATTCTTAGAAGTAAAAACGATTTGCTTTTTTTTTCTCTACATAGCCATATAGAAATATGTTCTTATTTAATAAAAAAATGTGGTCGTATCATAAGCTCTAGGTGCAATAACTCAATGAACTATTGTGTGGAAAGCGGCCTTGTTCCGGCGTTTTCGGCGAACGCAACGTAACACTAGAGGTTATTATTTTGACCTATTGGTTTACTCGAAACCCATTAAAAATAAGGACTACTCTATAAGTTAAAACAACTATGCAATACCTATGCTTCTTAGTCAAACAAACCGCCAATAATGTAATCATGTCGCTCATCCATTTTTCAACAATAACAACTCCTGACCAATGTGACAGCCTTAATGGTCTCATGTGCCTATCCTATACCTAGTATATATCTGATACGATATTTACGTAGTTTTTTAGGTGCTCTAACCTATTTTCATTCATTTTTTTCTTCTACTTTCAATCGAAGCCGACATATTTGAAAAGCAGAAAGTAATACTACGCAAGTGCGAAAATACTGTCTCTTTACGGTCAAAAGTATACAATTGTCGTCTAAACATATGATCTTTTTCATTTTGTGTAGGCCATAAGTCGTTTAGCCTTCCATCAGTTTCTGCAGCTCCCAGTGTGACCTAATATTAATGGCCTCTGGTTAAGGTGTTGCAGAGGCAAGCAAAAGCGAAATGAGCCAAATTCTAGACAGGTGCTATGTGTATAGGAATTAGGTGACGATATGGCCAGCAATTAATTTGCCAAATAGATCATAGGTGGACGCGTTTATATACAGCCAATTTAATTATCACATAGCAACAAGCACCGGTTATTAAATAAGCGAAAAACTGTTCGTTTACCTTTCGAATTTCGAAATTATGCCGGTAGACTTTACACACAGCTTGCAATCTTTCGTAAAGTCACCAATCAATGCTTATAAAAGTTAAAGTTAGTATTCAATGTTAGTTATTTGCTCTAGGTTAAACCTGACCGCCTCAGCTTAATCATTTAGTTTTAGCCAGCGGTTAAGACTAGGTTTTGTTAAAACAAAAAAGCCCTAACCGGTGAAATAGAACCGGTTTCTAATACGCATTACCAATCACTTGACCGTTTTTTAAAATTGAGCGGTCAATGATTTCTTGTATTTGCAGGGTAAACGATTCAATACACGGAACATTGCCAGTGAAACACCTTGTGCTTTTGCAGGCAACAAATAAACGGCTGTAGCTTTTACGTTTTGCAGGACAATTGAAAAGTGGCTATACAATGAGCGTCATTCTAGTGACGTAAAAAATATGCCAAGAGCTGTTATCATTTAAGAGATCAATATCTGTGAGTACATTGCCTCATAACTGGATATATATATATATATATATATATATATAGATATGCAATTATGGGGTATAAGCCTTCGGATAGTATCTACACAACGGAACAGTCTTCAGCTCACGTCTGTTAATGCAGCAAGAAATACGTACGCAAAACAAAGCGCCTTGAATTGCGCAGTGCGTTCTATATATTTTTTAATACAAGATTCTCGATTCACTATAAGCTAGTGGTCAATAGAACCACTAAAGCAACGCAACTGTACAAACATTTCACGGAAATACGCAAATTGAAAATTTGCACATTCCTTACTGCTTTAAAAAATGTCAAATGGAAGCCCTCCAATGGCCAATAAACCCTTTATCTCTGTATATATATACACGCTCAACAGATACTATACTACTACTAGAAACTGAATTGATCCCAGTCAAGCAATGCTAAACAACAGTATTGGGCTTAAAATTCAACCCATTTATCTACATCGCCGTAGACCGATCGGAGAAAATAGTTAACAGCGGTGCCGGGCGCAAAAGTTATCACACGAAAAACACACAAAAGGCGCGTAACAGCTTTGTTATCCATAACACTTCGTGCCAGCGGCGCATGATTTGCCCACGCAATGGTCCGGTTAAACGCACACTTCATATTGTCACAGATGAGCAAGGCTTCCTGGCCGCCGAAGGTTGTAGTTTCCTCCAGAAACTGCCACTGATGTTTTTGCTCGATATGTTTACTAGCTAGAGCCTGTGAAAGACACCACTGAAGCTGTCTTTTGGTTATCGGGTTATCATGCCCAGAGAACTCTTCGAGAACTGCGTCGAAATGCGCAACGACAGCCCCGGAATTCACAACGGTAGATGAAAGCACGGCCCGGCCAGAGAAATTTCGCCCCGAAATAAAGTAAGGTAGGCACGGATTATCTGGTACAGGTGGAATGGGAGATAGAGGGGCTATTCAAGAAATTGCAATCTCCATTGTTCTGTGTCGAGTTGCCCCACAGAGCGATCGGATTGCCGAGGCTGGTAGCTGACTGTGAACCTGAAAAATGTACGGCAATATGTTGAGGAACCCTGATAAAAAAAATGCAAAGGTCTGCACGGCAGATATTATTAATATAACCCCTAGATAAATACTGCCTGGATCTGTATATAAGAAGCTATATCGCAGTAAAGCGCAAATAAAAGCTAAGTTGTTGTTTGTATATATATATATATATATAGGACACCCGGGTCACGATAATAAATGGCCCCTGCAATTTCTTGGAGAGCCTCAGCGTTGTTTATTCAACCTTCACCTGTAGTATGTATGATGCTCGAACATCTGGGAGACAGATTTTCGGTTTTCAAACCGAGCGTTCATAAGCCATTACCAATTCCGAAACCGTCTGTTCACATTCTGTACCAAATCCGCCGATTTGGTGATAGCCGAAAAGCCGAGAATGTCCATCATATAGTATTTAAAGAATGACCTTTATGACCTAACTGCGCTGCTTTACTGTACTAAACCGTGTGTCTAACCTGAGAGATCCGTTGTCATTGAGGGAACACGATTTCTTCGGACTCAGTTCATACAATATCCTACGAATCCAACAACGAAGAACAAGAACGCATAGGAACCCCCAAGGAACAGTATAGGGCTCCATCCAGCTACCATTATACTACAAACCACACGGGTTGCCTCAATGGTATAACAAATTCCCCCATGGGCCACAGTAGTAATCAAAAAGCGAGTAATTGTCTTTATAAATTGAAACCCCCTCATCACAAATGGCTTGCCTAGAATGAGATCCTTTGCATGGTCGTTAACGATGAAAAACGCCTTCTGCGATCAGTTGTCGATCGCAGCATTAACCACCGCCAAGACTGTTAGCGGGGCGCGTCGGGCATCCCCCCAGTATATGGGCACCGAAAGCCTTATGATGCGCGCATAACGTATACATCAACCGTGTAAATATTATATTTACGCCCTCTCCAGCATCAAGTATAACGACAACCTTTCTGTCGAGAAGTTTGACAAGTGTGCATGAGTCATCGATGGTCCCGCTCATACGGTTTACAATCCAAAGGAAGCAAAACATCGGGTATCGATTGTTCAAATGACCCTGCTCTTCGCAGCCGACTACTAGACGTTCATCGGGCCTCTTCGCTTACTGCCATTCACCAATTTGCTGCAGTTTGAGGTTTCTGAGCTCCGGCACCCAGGGGAAAGTCGCGCAAAGCTCTCTAATTTTGGTGGTGCAGCCCCAGTGGAGTAGTTGACACGATTGTCACTCTAGTACGCATCTTTGACACCTCTTAGGAAGACCTGGAATGATAGCCCCCATCAAAAAGCGTTTCTCCAGGATAAAGGTATCAAAACTTGCTCTGTGACACCCGCTAGATGCGTAGTACTCTAATGAATAGGAGCGATCTCTTAAACAACTTCGCTATCAGCATAGCCGGGGTCGTTCCGAACGCTCCTTGATTCATGACGCCTCTAAGTTATGCCCTAGCAGACCCTGGAAGCAACGCTAAAGCCACCTGCAGGAGCTGGTGGTGAGATTAACCCTGGATGTAATGGACCGCAAGTGTAGAGTCCATTCGCATGGCGCCGTTATATATCTATCATCGACCGAAATACATATGTCTATTCACCATAACCACCATTTAGCCATTTAGGTGAAGTCAGGACCTAAATCTGTGGTCGTTTCGAAAATAACCGTTCCTTAATCTGCAAACAACTTTTCAGTAGTTTTTGCGCATAAGGCGACATTGGCAAATATAAACTCATCAAAGTGTCGCTCAAGTGTGCTACAGAAAAAAATTTCCACGTAATTGATTTTTAGGCCGATAGCACACTAAAGGTCCCAAAAATGCCATGGCTCCAAATAGCCAAAACATTCAGAAGTGACGAAAGTGTAAAAAAACAGAAAGGCCTGGCATTGTAGCTTATTTAAACGACCTAATTACCACTTGACGTTCTGTCCAACGGCGGTTAATTTCTGAGTCAAAAAATAAAGTATA